CTGGACCTGGAGAGAGAAGGGGGCTCCTGCCAGCCAAGGAGTTTATGAGATGGGCGTAGGAGGGGTGTGCCAGCGGAGGCCCTATTGGTCTCCTTAGCTGCGTTCAGGGCACTCAATCTGGAAGTCATCGTTCCTGAAGGCCCTGGATGGAGCTGGTTTCAGGGTCTGTTAGGACCACAGGGAAGCTGGGGGCAGGATGGTTGGTTCAATGCTGGTCTGGCGGCTCTGTGGGTTCTGTAGGTCTGGAGCTGAGCCTGCCAGAATCCAGGCACCAAAATGGGCACTAAAGTGGCACAGCGGGCCCCTGTCTCACACCGGCTCCTCAGCATGCAGCTCCAAACTCCTGGAGAGCCAGGTCTGAGCTGGGAGTGGGTGAGGGTAGGAGATGGCCACACCTCTGGTCACCAGGGCAGCATGGGAAAAATGAACGAATCCCATGTCTCCTGTCTCATGTGTGAATCTGTTCTGCCAGGTCACTGTCTGTTGCCAAAGCTGCTCCCCATGTCTGACCGACCACTGACCAGTCTGTCTCTGTCCTGCGGTCCCTGCTCAGCTTCTCCTCCCAGCATGCACTCAGTCCAGTTCTCTAACCTCTTCTCTGAAGTTCAGGATTCCAGGATGTTCATCTGCTATGTGTTTCATTTGGTCTCTAACATTTTGTTGTAGAGGGCCGTACAGTGCATCTGCCTGGTCTGCCATCTTGCTGGAAGTCCTTCACATTTCATTTTGGACTCTCGGTTTTCCTGGATTCATACTTGACATGGTCAGTGTTCCAATTACTAGTGTTTGTAGCTGTTTCTTCGCATTTTGAGTTATGCCACATTAGTAAATGAAAGTCAACTCTACTCTGAGGAGGCAGCTCGTCCCCAATCGTATTTGAGTGACTTCCAACCTGAGGAGCTCCTCTTCCAGCACTGTATCAAGGAAGTATTCTGCTACTATTGATAGGACTTTCAGTGGTCAGTTTTGGTTTGTTTTTTTTAGTAGATAGCCAGATCTTTCTTCCTTGTTTGTCTTACTCTGGAAGCGCCATTGAAACCTACCCACGGAGGATGACCCTGATAGTATTTGAAAATACCAGTGGCATACCATAGTTTCCAGTATTACAATAACCCAACACATTGAGAGATGGGGGGGTGTGTGTGTGTGTGTGTGTGTGTGAGTGTGGGGGGGGGGGAATAGAAATCAGGCCTACTGCTGACAAGTTTCCTTAAGATTTGTTTGTCTGTTGTTGCTAACGTGCCATGAAGTTGGGACTGACTCACAGCGGCCCTATGCACAACAGACCGAAACACTGCCCAATCCTTGAGCCCACTGATGCTGTCACTGGGCCAATCCATCTCGTTGGGGGTCTTCCTCTTTTTCTCTGACCCTCCACCTTACTAAACATGATATCCTTCTCCAGTGACTGGTCCCTCCT